GCAGGTAGCTGCAGCATGGATGGCCCAAGTTCTGTGGTTGATGGAAACATGACAGAAAAATTGACGCAGAAAACCCTGGTGTTGGGGGGTCAGTTGCTGTACATTTCAATAGGACCATAGTGGATTGCCTTGGGACATTACATAGCAGCATTGGACTACAGGCAGTTTTTTGCTTGTTTGTTTGTATTTTGAGACAGTGTACTCCTTCTGTAGCCTGGAGGGCTGGAGTGCGAGTGGCCGATCTCATTTAGCTGACCTCGTGCCTCGCCAGGTTCAAGCAATGTCTCTCGCTCAGCCTGCCACGCTGGAGTAGCTGGGGTTACAGCGCAGCTCGCACCATGTCTGGCTAAGTTTTTGTAGTTTTAGTAGAGACAATGGTTTTTACCATTGGTTGGGCTCAAACTGGTCATCCAACTGCCTGACCTCGGGTGATGCACCCTCTCGGCCTCCCACAGTTGGGGAATTAACAGGCCATGAGTAGAAGAAAGTAATGAAAAGACCCGTGGGCTCGGCGCGGTAAAGGTAAGGGGGTGAGTCCATCATTTGACTGCTGGCGGCCGGTCATTAAAGGAGCCAGGGCTCGGTGGTTCATTGTGGTTCACAGCTGTAATGCCAACACTTTGGGAGGCTGAGGCAGGAGGATTGTTTGAGCCTGGGGGGTCAAGGCTGCAATGAGCCATGATCACACCACTGCACTCCAAAGACCTTGTCTCAAATTTTAAAATAAAAAACATAAAACATAAATTTAAAAAAAGTCATCGAGATACCATGGAGTCATGTAGTGCCTCGCGTGGGGCCACTGACCCAAATGGGTATTATGGGGTCTGAGGCAGGAGTGGCAGGCCTAGGGGATGAAGACCACCCTGGCCTCATTCTGGACCCCTTCACCTACCCTCAGTTCTGGTCAGCGTCCGTCTCATGCCAGACCCAGGACCAGACTGCCATGCGCCTCGCCCTGGAGCAGATTGACCTCATTCGCCGCATGTGTGCCTCCTACTCCGAACTCGAGCTTGTGACCTCAGCTGAAGGTGGGCCCGCAGATGAGAGGATAGTCAGGATGTCGCTCTGGAGATTCTGTTCCTGGGATCTAACCACTTGACTCTCTACCTCCTTCTAGGTCTGAACAGCTCTCAAAAGCTGGCCTGCCTCATTGGCGTGGAGGGTGGTCACTCACTGGACAGCAGCCTGTCTGTGCTGCGCAGTTTCTATGTACTGGGAGTGCGCTACCTGACACTCACCTTCACCTGCAATACACCATGGTGAGCACAGCACCTGGCCAGGATGCTAGATGGCATGGTGTGGAACCTGTCCCATCTGTGGCATGGGTGTGACCAGGCCGTTGAGGATAAAGGGGTCTGCAGAGGGAGGCTGGACACCCAGCGGGTCTCTCACAGTCCCAGAAAGCAGCTGGTCCTGCACCTGTTCTGGAAGTGGGATGGATGGATAGACCCAGGGCTCCCAGGACCTGATGGCCCAAGGTGTGATCAGCTAAATTGCCCTTCCATGGCTGTCCTGCAGGGCAGAGAGTTCCACCAAGTTCACACACCACATGTACACCAATGTCAGCGGGTTGACAAGCTTTGGTGAGGTGAGGACTCCTGTTTTGTACCCCACCCCACCTGCTCCCTATGGATATGTGTATACACCTTTGCATCCCAACACCCTCCCCCACAAAAAAAACTAATTGTTTCTGCAGAAAGTGGTAGAAGAATTGAACCGCCTGGGCATGATGATAGATTTGTCCTATGCATCAGACACCTTGATGAGAAGGGTCCTGGAAGTGTCTCGGGCTCCTGTGATCTTCTCCCACTCAGCTGCCAGAGCTGTGTGTGACAATTCATTGAATGTTCCCGATGACATCCTGCAGCTTCTGGTGGGTGGCCATCCCAGCTCTCAAACCTAGGGCTAGGCGTGTGTTACCCAAAGGTTCTTGACCCTGAGCAGAGAAAGCCACCAGGCCGGGTTTCACGCACCCTTGGACCACAGGCTGGTGAATCCTCCTCCATCCCTGAAGCTCAAGGCCAAGTCATTTCCACCCAGGGACCCACAAGCCCAGAGAGGTGAAGCCTCTTCCAACCCCTGAAGCCAGGACGGAGCACAGTCCTACCAGGGCCCCCACAGCACAGGAGGCATGCTTTCAGGCCAGAAGGGCTGAGATGAGTGTCCCTTTATCCGTCTAGAAGAAGAATGGTGGCATCGTGATGGTGACACTGTCCATGGGGGTGCTGCAGTGCAATCTGCTGGCTAACGTGTCCACGGTGGCAGGTGAGTCCCACCTCAGCTTTGTGCAGCGCCGGCTTGGGCTGTGGCTGCCAGGGCTCTCAGGACGACTCTAGCAGTCTAGTGCACCTGCTGGGCAACGGGCAGACCTCCCAATGACCCAGAGGCAGCAGACACGGCTCTTCAGTGCCACCCAGATCTGCAGGCACAGAGTCGGCGCTGATGGGTTTGATGCCTCTTGGTTTTGCTCCTGATCCTTGAACTTCTCTCCTTCCCCACATGTCTGGGCAGGACAGGCTGAGCCCCACCAGGCTCTCAAGGAACCCAGAGGCAGGGTGGCTCCTGGGCAGGAAAAGGCCCAAAGGGGTGGCTCTGAGGTCCCCACTCTAGGTCCATGGACCAGCATGTAGCCGCTTCAGGACTCATGACTGGCCATGAGCTAGCTCTGTGGAGCCAACTGCCACAGCCTGGGGTGCTGGGGACAGGGCTGGTGCCAGGGTCTAACTCCAGCCTAGTGCTGCCCACACTCACCTCCACCTTAGATCACTTTGACCACGTCCGGGCAGTCATTGGATCTGAGTTCATCGGGATTGGTGGAAATTACGACGGGGCTGGCCGGTGAGTGCTTCCCTGAGGTTTCTCTTAGGCTGGGGTGCCGCAGGGAGTCCTTTAGTCTTCGTTCCCATCCTGACATCCTCCTATCCAGGCCTCAGCCACAGGCTCTGGTCTTGTAGCCCACCTGACACTCCCCACTCTCAGGGCCTGTTTCCTAGGTTCTCCCTGTCCCTTCAGTGGCCCAGTGGCCCTACTCCAAGTTGTCATACTTGCTAAATACTCCCCTCCCCAGGCAGGGCTCATCTGTCCAAGATAAGCTCCACTCCCAGCCCTGCAGACCAGCTGTGGGCTGACCATCTGCTCAGCAGGTGGAGGCTACAGAAGCCCAGTCCTCCAGGAGCCTCCACGGTTGCATTCACTAGCCTGAAGAACTTGGCCTTCAGTTTCCCCTGTGTGACTAGGGCTGGTGGGTAGCAGGCCCTAACCCAGGATCAGGGCTGAGGTCCCACAGCTGGCTGGTGGGTGGCCACACAGGTTCCCTCAGGGGCTGGAGGACGTGTCCACATACCCAGTCCTGATAGAGGAGTTGCTGAGTCGTAGCTGGAGTGAGAAAGAGCTTCAAGGTGTCCTTCGTGGAAACCTGCTGCGGGTCTTCAGACAAGTGGAAAAGGTAAGCTGGGCTGGTGGACAGGATGGTTCAGTGGTTTGAGCAAGGGAGGGGATTGCTGTGGGAGCCTCTGACTGCGGACTTCCTCCCCCAGGTGAGAGAGGAGAGCAGGGCGCAGAGCCCCATGGAGGCTGAGTTTCCATATGGGCAACTGAGCACATCCTGCCACTCCCACCTCGTGCCTCAGAATGGACACCAGGCTACGCATCTGGAGGTGACCAAGTGGCCAACCAGTCGGGTCCCCTGGAGGTCCTCAGATGCCTCCCCATACCTTCTTCCAGGCCTGGTGGCTGCTGCCACCTTCCCAACTGTCATCCAGTGGCTTTGCTGACACGGCCGGTCCCCCAAGAGGTGACTGTGGCAAAGTCTCACGAAGCCCCCCGTCCTAGTTCATTCATAAGCACGTGCTGAGAATAAACATTTTACACATGGAGCCAGGTGCACATGTCCTTCCTTCTCCATAGCGAGAGTGGGGCAAGGTGGGCTCTTGGTCACGTGAGGGATCTTGTGGTCTAGCCAACAGCTGGGTCAAGGTGGGTGCTTCCCACTCACCTGCCAGCTTTTGCTTCTTCAGGAAGGCCAGAGGCATCTTATTAAATTCTTAAGCTAAAGCTTGAGCCACAGAAGAAGAGACACAAACGAAGTGAAGGTTTAGTTTCAGTCCCTTCGTGGAGTGTGACAGTGGGGTGCTTCCCAGTTCTCCTCCAAGAGGGTTAAATGTGTTTTCATTTAGAAGCTGATAACTATTTATAGAATAAAGAATAACTTGGCCAAGTGCGTGGTGGCTCACGCCCTGTATCCCCAGAAATTTGGGACAGTGAAAGGCGGGCAGATCAACGAGTGTCAGGAGATCAAGACCATTCTGGATACACCAGGAATAACCCTGTCTCTATCTCAAAATAACAAAAAATTAGCTGGCAATGGTGGCACTCACCTGTAGTCCCAGCTACTATCGGGAGACTGAAAGGCCGCAAGGAAGAATCACTTGACCCGGGAGGCAGAAGGTTGCAGTGAGCCGAGAATT